TCGTGGCGGCTGCCGGAGTGGCGCCGCTCAGGAGCCCCCGAAAGCGGCTCCCGGCTCGGCAGCCAGTGCGGCGCGGGCTGCGGAGGATGTCTGAATGCATAATACAACACCGGGGCGCTCAATAATTTATCTGTCACCCAGAAAAAGGCACATTTAAACACGCTCGGATCCAGCCCCTGCTCTTTCTGCTCTGAGCTTTCTCCTGCCTGAGGGAGCAGTCCCAGTCGGGGGGCCTCATCTGGGCTTAAAATATTTCTGCAAAACCCTGCTCTGTCCCACGGTGCTCTGAAGGTAAAGCCCTTGTCGTCGGTTCTTCCCCAGAAGTTGGTTATTGCTGGTTGGTTTGGGATGGGCATGCTTCCGACGCAGTGTTAAACCTCACCGGGGAGGCTGGGTTTTAACGACGGGTGAGTTTAGGCTGGCTGAGCTGCACGAGGGCTCGCGCCGGCCGCCGCGCTCCCGTGCTCTGCCGTCTCCCCGGCACCGCAGAGCGGCCCCAGCGCTGCCTCGGCGCTGGGGGAGCGGGGCAGGGTGATTTTAAAGCGCTGTGAAAGTTGCAGGGGGCTGCCTAAGTGCAAAGTGGTGTTTGAGGGAAGGAGGCAGTGACACCCTGCCGTAGAGGAGGAGGCAGCCCGTGCATGAGGTGATGTATTATTTAGCGCTCACAGATGTCTTTAACTTTTCTCAGTTTGAGATGGGCCCCTCGCTCGGAGCAGCGAAGGGCCGTGGTCGTTGCGGCTGATCCGAAGTGACAAGTCTTCCAGCTCCTTCCAAAGTGCCTCCGAGAGAGACTAATGGGGACTTGACAGGAGTCCAGCTTTGTTCCCTTTCCAGCCCCGGTGCTCCCCAGGGGCTGGGACGCAGAAGCCTCTGGTGCAGGGACCCCAAATTGCCCCAAATCAGGCTGTGCTCAGCTCTTGGAGTTGCTCCAGTGTCCGGTGGGGCTCAGCAGCACCCCTGGCTTCGCCCGCCCTGTGGATTGCCCCTTCCTACAGGTCTGGGCACAGGCTCGGGGCTTTTTTCCTCGGACGTTGCGTGGCTGCAGCCTCCTGGTTTTTGCAAGTGGGATCTGCTGTTGACAAACGAACCTCACTCGGATCCCGGAGGATGCAGAACTGCTGGGGCAGTGGCTGAGGCAGCAAAGAATCTGGTTTTTTGGAGGCAAAATGTCCTTGAGCAGGAGTATTTTGCAGAGAAGGAGTTCGTAGCTGTGCCTTTGCCGTGGGTGACTCGGAGGTGGCAGAGCCGGGGACTGACAGATCCCTGGCCTGACCTGTTCTGGCATCCTCTTTCCTTGTTTGTCTCCAGCGTGTGCTTAGTTGCACGGCCCATTAACATAGTGGCCTCCTTGTGCGGTGCTGACGGAGAGGAAAAATTTTAATACAATGGTTGGCACGGGCTGCGTGAAAACAGCCTTCAGACCTCAACACCTCGCTCGCGCCGGGGTTGCGTGCCCGGCACTGCCAGCCGCCGTGGCCAGGACAGAGAGCAGCGCGTTCCCCTGCTGCCTTCCTGCTGCTCTGCTTGGCCGGAGTCGGGCGTGAAACCCAGTGTCCTGCTCCTGAAGCGAGCAGGCTCCTCTCTCGGCCGTGCGGGGTGGGATCCGACGGGGTGACCGGCTCCCGAGGCTTTGCGGTTTGCCTTGCGCAAAATGTCGAGCCCCTGGGAGCTTCGCATCCGTCCCTGCAGAGGAGGCTGCAGAGGAGGCTGCTGTAGCTCGGGGTGGCTTCGGGATCCCGGCGGCTGCTCCCTTTCGGATCACGGGCCTCTGCGGAAACACCCTGAGGCCCCTTTTCCCGCTGCCGCGGCATCTCCGCGGGGGTTGCCATCCGGTGCCCCGGTTTTGCCGTCCGCTTGGCTCGCTGTGCTGCGAGTGTGTTCTGGGTGGCCGCCTCTGGGTCCCAGTGACACTTGCTGGTGGCTCCGCGGACCCTCTGAGCCTTTCGCAGCCAATTCCTCCTTCCCTGCAGTGAGCCAGAGGGAAGGAGGGTCCCTGCCTGTGCTGGTGGGGACATGGGGTGCCAGGGTGAGACGGGGCAGGAGGGTGAGCCCTGGATGTCTTCGCTTCGGAGAGGGAGGCTCTTTGGCAGCCCAAAAGCCAGTATTAGCCTATTCCCTCGGGAATTGTGTGAAACAGACAGGATCTGATTTGTTAATAGGAATATTTGCCTTCGGAGGGGGAGAGGAGAAGGGGTATCCGGAGGCCTGAGGGTCCCCTTCGTGTCTCCCCACAGGTGATGCACTGACTTGGCAGATGTTGCCCCGATTGACGTAGGACCCAAGTCGCTTGGGCCAAGGATGAGCAAGCCGACAGACCTGCAGCACGACCTGGAACGAAGCCTCCCAGCCATAGCGTCCATCAGCACCTCGTTCTCCCAGAGCCAGGGCTTCTCCCCGTATTGCTACTTCTCTCCGGAGAAGAGGAAAGCCATCTCGGACGTGAGGAGGACCTTCTGCCTCTTCGTCACCTTCGACCTGCTCTTCATCTCTTTGTTGTGGATAATCGAATTGAATGTAAGTTGGGGGAAGCAAATCCGTGGAGTCTTTACCCTTTGAAGTTGTGCTTTTTCAATTCGGTTCCCTCCGCGTTAATTGCTCTGTTTCAGAAGTCTTGGGCCAAGTCTTTGTTTGTTCTTCCCAGCGCTCTGCTGATTTGCGCTGGCTGAGAAACCAGCGTGCAGTTAGTGTAAACTAAAGTCCAGCTCATTTCCTGCAACTGGGCTCTGTTGTGGCTGTCCAGGGTCGTTAACGCCGTCGCATGTAGCGCTCTGTGTTGTAGTGTAACAAGATCTGGGGCCTGTGGAATCGCCAGGTTGAGCAGTTGGCCAAATTTCTCTCCTGCTCCCCTTGCCTTAAGTGAAGCTGCTCGCTCTGTTTGCCAAGCAGCTGCCAGCTTTGCTGCAGCGTCTTGTTCTCAGAGCGTCGGAGGAGCGAGGTGGGATGTGCAGACCCTCCTCTCGCCCACCCAGCTGTTGGGCAGAGACAAAAAGGGCTTTGAGCTTTGGTCCCAACGTGCCGCTGCTGATCTCAGCTTCTGAAAGCCGGAGGTGCCGCTCCACCGCACGGGGGACTGGCGAAGGGGACTGTGAGGGTTCCGGTCCTCTCCGCAGCGCTGTCACACCTGTGCGGGCTGCTGCGTTTGCTCAGTGTGTCAACTGGTTGCAATGACCAGGGAAATCCAGCTTATTTACCTCAGTCCCGTCAGGTCGGAGTTACTCCCTGGGCTGTATTTTATTTTGTTTTTCCTGAACTGGTCCCGGCTGGTTTCAGGTACTACATGTCCTCCCATGGAACAACCTGAGCAGAGAGGCAAGATGAATAGATAGACCCCAGCGCTTCTGCGTGCAGCCCTGCCGGTTGTCTGGCCTTTGTTTATCAGCACTGGATCCTGCGCTCACTTAGCGGCTCTTATCTCTGCCCTGTTTATCTCCTGCGGTGTCTGCACTTAACAGATTGTCTCGGCCAGCAGCTCCCTCGCCCTGCCCACGCGGTGTCAAGAGCCTGAAGAGACCCCTGTCCCCCCGCCCCGACTAGGAAAAAGCATCTCTCGGCCAGCATTCCAGCGATGCCGATGGTGCCCTGCACGCCTGGCTTGGACCCCGGCCTCCTGCTCTTGTCCCTGTTCTCTGGACTCTCTGGAGAGGTGCTGTCCGCAAATCAAAATATCCAGCCCCGGGGAGATAATCTGCCAGCGCGGTCACCAGGGTGATTCTGAGCGTAGGTCTTGCAGGTAGCCATTAATGAGTGACTAACTGCTGATATTTGGGCCCTGAGCCGAGATGCTACATATTTAAAGCTATTAGGACAGCTTATTTGCCTAGTTATGAAGAGCAACGATTTTCTATTATGACTAATGCTTTTTTTATCAAACGGTTTCCTTCGCTGAAAGATAAGCTGAGCAAATTGGCCCTCGTTAAATGTCTGTTGCCTGCAAACTGTAATCCTGCGAGCTTGCTGCTCTCGGAGACGGAGAGATGCCTCAGACGGTTCTTCTTCCTTGTTCGTTGCAGTGGCCCGTACTTAAACTGAAAACACCTCCCAGATATCATAATCCAAAGCCTTCCCTGTGTCTCGTTCCTCCTGCAGCATCTCATAGCGGAGTCACGGTGTGGGGAAGAGGCTTTCAGCGGCAGCTCAGCAAAGCTGGCTGGCGTCAGTCCTGTAGCCGCAGATCAGATAAAGCAATAGTGCAGAACGGCTTTGCCCCCCTCTCCCTGAATATTAAGCACCAGCCCTGACCTAGAGGGACCGCTTCCCGATGGCTGCCTCTTCTGTCCTTGGACTGTCTGACAAGAGGGTGCCAGGACACCAGGCTGCCAAGAACTGGCCTGAGATCCACCAACTTGTTTCTCACAGATCATCAAACAGCTGTCAGCCTACACCAGCTTCCAGGCCAGCTGGGCTGCGTTCAAACCAATAGCCTAAAGGTGAAGCATTTGTTCCAGTTACCTGAGCCATCCACTTCCTCATAAACAGCGATTCCAGGCTCCCGAGAACAGGATTTATGGTGTCAAAAGTACCAGGGCTGTCAGGCTCCAGATTGTCTCAGGGTGAGGCAAGGGAGCTCTTCTGTGAGCTTTTTCCACGCTCCCGTACAACATCCCAGAACGTGGTTTTGCCTCTTTCAGATTTCCTTGCAGTCTGCCTGTGTCCGTGCGTGTCCCTCGTCCTCCTCTCCTCCCTCTTCCCCTTTGCCAGTACATTTGAACCTGCCGGTCGACTTCCTCCGTCAGATTTCCTGGAGGGCAGCTCAGCGCTGCTGTGAGCCGTGGGAAGCCAGCTGGCCTGGAAGAAAGGAGAGGGGACCCCTCGGTGCTTTGCATAACGAGGACGATCACAGCTTAAATTCCACCAGGTTGCTGAGTGACCCCTGAGAGCCCTCGCCGGGGAGATGTTTTGATTGCCCAGCTGTGGGAGATGCTTTGTTCAGCGCGTTACTGAAGGCGCTAGAGAAGCGGTTTCCTGTGATTTTTCATTTTTTCCACGTCTCCTCCCGTACAGCTGAAGTCTGTCACCTGAAGCCACGCGTGGAAGCAGTGGGCGTGAGTGGGAGGTGTTGTCTGACCAAGGGCTTTAGGCTGTGAGAGTTGTGATCCGGTGGTGCTGGACGTGCTGAGCCAAAGGAGCGGCTTTTCGGTGTTAGAAAGCCCCCGCGTAGAAGCGTTTAACGTACCCGTGTGCTGCTTCCAGCTCTGGCTACCCGACTTGCGCTCCTCGGCGTGAAACCGAGGGTGAAATGAGCTGTTGTATCCTCCCGTGGTCCTGCGTTGGCAGATGAGCCCGCGTCGTGCGTGCGGCAGGCATTTGTATGCCTGATGCATAACCTGACCTGGCGGTAACCTCCGGTCACCGCTTGGCCGGGTTCTTTCTCCCATTAGTTTCTTATCAGTGCACTCAATAGCTTTCTGGTTTCCTGTCTCCCCTCCAGACCAAGGATGGCATTCAGAAGAACTTGGAGAATGAAATCATCAAGTACAATTTTAAGACCTCTTTCTTTGATATATTTGTGAGTATCCCAGACTGCTGCAGGTGAGGAAACAGCTTTGGAGCTAGGGGTGCCGTGGCCGAAGGCTGGGCAGGGAGGGTCTGCGCGCCGGGTGGCTGGGGTCTCCCCGCGGCCTCGCCCCTCGCCTGGCTCAGTGAAACTGGGCAGGTCGCAGCCCATCCTGTTGCAGCCTTGACCCCCATCTGTCGAAGGTGGCGAGGTCCTCGGGAGCTGGCCGGTGTCTGTGTCCTCCCAGCACCTGGCAGAGGGACAAGGGCAGCGACTGGTGTTGATGGCTTTTTGTTTCTACAGGTCTTGGCTTTCTTTCGGTTTTTTGTGTTGCTGCTGGCCTATGCAATCGTAAAGCTGCGCCACTGGTGGGTCATAGCGGTAAGAAGGCAATTTTTGCTTTCCTGTCTTTAGTTTTCTCTCTCCGCCTGGAGTTTGCAGGGATCTGAGATATGTAAATTTATTTTTCAGGTCACTACGTTGGTATCCAGTGCCTTCCTGATTGTGAAGGTCATCCTCTCCGAGGTTGGTTTCTTTGGGCTCACAGGGGATTGCTTTGTGATTACCTGCTGCTGCAGTTTTCCCGTTTGTGTGAACTCCCTGTGGTTTCTGCTTTTTTCCACTCAGCTTCTGACCAAAGGGGCTTTCGGCTATTTGCTTCCTATCGTCTCGTTTGTCATTGCTTGGCTAGAGACTTGGTTCCTGGATTTTAAAGTCCTAACTCAGGAAGCAGAAGAGGAACGATGTAAGTATTTTGCTCCTCTCTGGTAGGAGTTGGCAGATGAGACTACCAGGCCTGGGGTTTCTGCTGCTTTGGCAGCACCTTGACAGATATGACATTTATGGAGAAGTGATCTCCAGGCTGGCTGTGACGGTAAGTGCCTGACTCAATTCTGTTATGGTATATAAGTCCCTTCAGGGGAAGAAAATACCAGATTATAAAAAGCATCTTTTAATTGAGTGGAGAAAAACGTGCCAAATTCCCCAATGTCTGGATCCTGAAGCCAGACGCGTTGGAAACAGAGCTCACCTCCGCGTCGGAGAAAATGTTTTGAAACAGTGGGACAAATGCCAGGCGGACTGTTGGACTCTCCGTCTCTGGATATCTGTCTTTGGATCTGGGCTGGAGACCTTTCAGAGAGGATTGCTTCAGTTACAGACAGGTTGCAGGGGCGCGGCGTGAGTTATGGTGTGTGAAATTTTACAGCCTCTGGTTGCTGAGGTCAGACTAAACGGAGATCGAGTCTGACCTAATGCTTTACAAATTACCCTGCGGTGCCGGGCACCTGTAACTTCCAGGGGCCCTTCTAGGGAGTGGGTGCTCAGCCTGGACTGGCACGGCTGCCCGTTCCTAAAGCAGCAAAAGGAGTTCGTCGCTCTCCCAGGCTTAATTGATGAGAGAGGGCTGGGAAACGGCACGTAAACGAGGGAGCGTTTGTCAAGCGGGGCCCGATCAGAAATGCAGTGACTGACTGGAAAACACCAGAGGATGTTTGGGTCTTGCAAGGAGGCTTTAAGATGAAAAATGATCAAGTGTTTAATGCCTCTATTGGATTAGGCTCAGGTTCCAAATTGCTTCCAGGGGAAGCTCTTATTTAATTAGATGCTTAATCGCCTTTGGATTTGACAGGCAAAAGAGCCCATTGATCTCCATGCAGATAAAATGTCTCAAACAAAAGATGAGGCAATAGGAGCTGAAAAGCTTGTGGGCTGGCTGGTGTCAGTGCGAAAAGACCAGCTGTGTCTGGAAGAAAGTGGCTGGGAGGGTGGTTGAGTAGGGGTGGATGTGGTGGGGGCCCCCGGACCCCTCTGCCGTTGAAGTGTCGGACGCCGCGTGTGTAAAACCTCGTGCTTTGGTTCGCAGGGGACCTGGCAGCCCAGGCTGTAGCCTCTCGCCGCCCCCTGCTCTAC